CCCGCACTCACCATGGTACGCGCCCCCTCCGCGGCCCGACACCGGCCCCGCGCGCACCAACACCAGCCGCCCCCGGCCGCGCGCCCCTGGTCATGTGACCTTACGGGTTCCCCCAGGCCACGCCCACCCTCCGCGCCGGGACCACGCCCCGCCGCACGTGACCGCCCCCTGCAGCTCCCTGCCCGGGCCGGGAGGGCGCCGCCTGGCGGCCGGGAGGCGGCAGCGCTGTGGGGTCCCCTCAGGAGATCAGTGCGGTAATGAAGCTTTCCTTTCGGCAGGACTTCGCGCTCTTTTTCGGGACACGAGATTGGCCGGCTGCTGTAAAAGTGCAGGCGGCTCCCAGCGCACAAAGGGTTGGAATTTTTCCCCTCAGAGCACGATGACTTTCCCGCAGAGCCGGCTGTGCACCCATCACTGTTGTTCCCCCCACTGGGATGGCTGCTGCACGCACACACATGAAAAGGCAGTTCAGACCGAACAATGCTTTTAGTAAGCGAAAGCAGTAAAGATCTTAAGGCAGAGTTTTTATTGATGCTGGTTTAAAACCGTTTCATGGCTGTTGGGTCAGGCTCTGGGGAAGAGGCGAGGGAGCGGCACATGAGGACGATGTCTCCAGCCCTAGAGGAACAAATCCTCCTCCGACAGCTTTTCCTTCAGCTCGCTGCCCCGCAGGCTCTCCAGGAAGACAGGCAGCTTCGCCTCAGAGAAGCTGTCATTGTCACCGAGCCCCGACCCAGAGGCTGGCTCTGCTTCCACCATGGTATTGGACCCAGAGCCGGCATCCTCATCCGAGAGAGGGAATATGTCGCCCAGCTCCTGGTATCTCTTCATCCTGAAAGGCAGAGTGGCAACTTTCTCTCTCAGATGAACACATCAAAGCCTCACATTACCGTGGGCAAGCCACGCTGTGACAGGACTGTCGAGGCAGGAATAATACATTTTGGGGTGCTAGCATTAATGACAAGCACACAGCAAATGAACTCACAAGGACGGGTCTGCCATGGGAGGAAGGATCCTGTTGGCCCCACCAGAGGGCATGTAAAACCAGGGCCCCTGCTCTTCGATGCAGTTGGCAGACCAGGCGTCAGGCCGGCACCTCACCCTCTTGTACCTCGCTCTCTGCATCGGAGCACCTGATGGAATGAGCCACACATTGTCCACGAGGACCAGGACATCATTCACCAGGTCCTGTGAACTTTATCAGCACCTAATAAGGCTTAAAGGAGCAGATGACAGTAATTTGCGTGGCCCTGATTGCTCAACCTCCGGAAAAGTAAAGTAACCCTGAAGACTTTTTTTTAAAATGGCTACTGACATCCTAAGTGACATTTTTGTCATCAGAGACATCAGGCACATCTCGCACACGGCACCAGGAAGTCCTTGAAAAATCCCAGGGAATCCCCTCAGACACAGCACCAGGAAGTCCATGGCAAAGCACTGCTGTCACAGCAAGGCCCATCCCCAGCTCACAGTATGGCACAGCCATGGGGGACCTGGGGGCTCAGCCTCCTGCAGCTCTCCTTGGAGGTGGAGGTATGTGAAAATAATGTGAAAACCTCCGGGGGCAAGGCATCCAGCAGAGAGCTGGCTCCTGTGCTCTCCTTCCTCCGTTGGCTCCAGCTCTGCCTCTTCGAGTTCAACGGGTTGAGTTTTGGTGGGGACGTGAGAAACTCAGGCTGTGCCACGGGAGCAGGTTTGGGGTTTATGGAGGCTCTGGGAGCACTTGCCAGAGGTGAGACAGTTCAGGTGTCTCCTAGACACAACAAGGTTTTGTAAACCCAGGTTTTCAGTTCTGGTGCTCCCCAGGTGCCTGATTGGGGCTGTCACTGGAAATGTGGGTCTTCAAGAAATACCAAAATGACAAAATAAGGATCACATAATAAAGATAGGAGCAGTGACATTTCATCCTTCCTCTTGGTCTCATGTAATTAATTTGTTCAGAAACCTCCTGGTGCATTCTCAACCTGTTGGCATTTTATCTATTTTTTTCTCCGTTTCCTGGGAATATCTTCCCGTAATTACACTTCTCTGTTGCCCTATATATTTCCACAATGTACTGGATGACTTTCAGCTACCTCCTACACTCTTCTGTAAAAGAGAAAAGATCTCACGGGTGTAATTTCCTGCTGCTTCTACAGTATATTCCTTTTTCATACTTATTTTCTTCTCCTCGCCTGTTATTAAGAAGGTTTTTAATAATAACAGTGGCAACAAAATAAACAGCTGCAGCTGAAAAATTTGCAAATAAGCAACACAGAGCAAGCAGGCTATAATCCCTCAAAGACCAGCCTCAGAGTAGTAATGCATATTGAGAGCCTATCACTACCACAGCTTTGGCTGGTGGATAAATTATACTCTACATGCTTGAAGAGCAGTTTTTCTCTCACAAGAAACAAATCCATGGGGCAGGGCATCATGAATCAATATTTCCCTTTTGTCATTTTCGTGGTGTATGTTGCAATGTTTTACGGAATAAACCGTTTGGTTTCCTCATACTTACAACTAGTTTCCTTTCCTGCTCCCCCCAAAATGCAGACCGTAGGAGTTATGACATGGGGACTGTTACACACTATGTCTGTAACTCATAACTGAGTAACAGCAGTAACCACTATGAAAGGGACATTTAGGAAAATACATATTGAGATACATGGGCTGAAAACACACACACATGCAACAACATATTTTATGAAGTCTTTTCTGAAAAACTGAA